AGATGGTCGGAGAAACGGTGATAGGATTGGTTTGAAAATGTAGATTTTTATATAAAGGCACCTGGTCCATTTATCTAAAATATTATCAGAGTTACAGTGTTGCCGGATCATTAGAAAAGTGGTAGCATCTTTGTTATTTTAAATGGAACACCCAATTACATTTTTGGAAACTACTTTTATATCTCAAAATTTTTCTTTTATGCTAACCTATACCTATCTCCTTTTTACATTCAATGTTTTTGATGGAATACTATTTTATTTTGCAGATTTTCTTACAGTGGTGTAATACCCAAAAGACTTTTTTGAAGAAATGAATAACGTCACAAAGGTAATCTATACCTTTTTTACCCTTAATAGATCCAATATGGTTGTACAACTAAGTCTTAAGTGACATATGAATTTATATCAATTATTGGGGAACCATGTAAAGTTGATCTAAAACAAATTAATCAGATATAATATGCAGGGTGGCGCACCCCATTCGCCTCGGTTAATTATACGAAAACGGAAAGATGTAGAAACAAAATATTTTATGGGTACATGTGGGGAGGCAATGTGCACAATTTAAAATTATTTTGAAATATACAGGGTGTTTCAGAACTAAGATCCATACCAAAGTTATATTTTTTCTTACGGAACACCCGGTATTTTATTTCATTTTTGGATTCTTGGGCACAAAAAAGGCATTTACTATAAGGGTTACATAAGTTTAAAATCTTTAGTTTTTGAGATATTTAAAGAAATTTAAATTTGCATGCTACAATAGAATAGATTATTAACACCCTGTACATTATTTTTCAGATTTAATTCTTGTGCTGAATTTAAAGGTAAAGAAATAAACTTTATCGAAAAATAGTATTGCTTCCTTAAATTTATACAGGAGTATCAAAAATTGCTGATGTATTTTAAGGATTTATTTCACATAAAAACTTTTTTATTTCAAATACCTCGTTGTACACTGTATTTTTTGTAATAAATCGAAGGAAACTCAAATGCTTTTCCAAACTATATTAGGGTTTCCTATACCTATCTAGCTCAGATTTTGAATAAAGAGCAATTTTTCAATAAAATGGCAACCAGGAGGGGTAGTGTCATCATGGCAAGTTTCTAGTGACAGTTAGTAGCTATTTTAAAAATCGAAATTAGTTTATGGACTTAATTAAATTTATACCAGTTTACTTTTATTTAATTTATCATTACAACAGTTTAATAAATAATATGTATTAAATATGTATTTATTATTCAATCAAGATAAACGAAGAAGTAGTTCTTTGATTTATTTTACGATGACTTGTAGTAGATATACATATGGATTTTCTATAAAAGAGCCAATTACGGGAAATTCATTTTCTTCACTTCCAACGACAGATTTCTGCCTAATAGGTTTTTTATAAACCACATTACCATCTCTGCCAAATAGAACAAATAGTTTTTTAAAGGAACGCTTATCAGAAAGATTCCTATTTGGATATCTTTGTTATGCTCAAAGATATCCTCAAGCTCTTGAGGCCAAGAAGCAATTTTTCTCACAAAATAAAATCACTAGTAACATATCTATTTTCGGCCAGCAGATACTGCTTTATTTTTCTTGATAAAATAACGAATACTTACTTATTAAATTATTGTGGGTAAATCTAAGTAAACCGTTATTATAAATTATAAATAATAACGTCCATAAACTAATGTCAACTTTGAAAATGTTACTAACTGTCAATAGAAAATTGCCACGGCGACACCAGCCATCTTGGTTTCAATTTTATATAAAAATCGCTTTTTATTCAAAATCTGAGCTAGATAGGTATAGGAAACCCTAGTATAGTTTGAAAGAGCATTTGAATCTACTTCGGTTTATTTTAAAAAATACGGGATGTTGTATTTGAAATCACGAAGTTTTTATATAAAATAAATCCTTAAAATAGATCAGCAATTTTTGAAACCCCTGTATAAATTTAAGGAAGCAATACCATTTTTTAATAAAGTTTATTTCTTTATCTTCAAACTCAGCACTAGAATTAATTCTGAAAAGTAATGTACAGGGTGTTAATAATCTATTCTATTGTAGCATGCAAATTTAAATTTCTTTAAATATCTCAAAAACCAAAGATTTTAAACATATGTAACCCTTATAGTAAATGCCTTTTTTGTGCCCAAGAATCCAAAAATGAAATAAAATACCGGGTGTTCCGTAAGAAAAAATATAACTTTGGTATGGATCTTAGTTCTGAAACACCCTGTATATTTCAAAATAATTTTAAATTGTGCACATTGCCCCCCCACATATACCCATAAAATATTTTATTTCCACATCTTTCCGTTTTCGCATAATCAACCGAGGCGAATGAGGTGCGCCACCCTGTATATATAATCTGTCCATAACAGTCATCGCGAACTTTACAAAAAGTGTCTTAGACAAAAATTGTCGACAATAATTACGTTCTCTAGAACCTGCCATTTAAATGTGCCAGTTATTTTGATCAGAAATATTCGAAAAATTATGGTTAAATAATAATTTTCATACTTTTTATTAAGCAATAAATAATATTTTTTTGCAAAATTCTTTATATAAAAATTGTAAGAATTGAATTTTTAAAAATTTGTTTATAAACTTCTTTGCGGAAAAATGCAAGGAGGGCGCGCAAATCGCAAAAAAATATAAAATCCAATGTGGACATTTTCCATATGAAATTAATAGACAAGGCTGTGACTTCGTTATCTACATGTCTAATAAAATAATAGCTGCCTCAAAAGTTTCGATTCTAATTTTTTGTTGAAAGAATTTAAATTTACGTAAGTAGTAATATTGGTAAGTCAATGATTTTTTTTATAAATTAATGAGCAGCGATGACAAGGTTTATATAAAAGTGTATGCAGAAATAGCTCGTTTAGTCATAGTAAATATTAGTTATAGTTACAGTCTTAGTCAGAGTTAATCAGTATTTCTTCATGGGGATGGTCATTAAACACATATTCATGTTCAAGTACCTTCTGAATACTCTAAAAATACTTGGAATATTTCCATTTGATTTATTTGTTATTTTAATACTCTCATGAAACATGCTTTGAAGTTTGTTATATGGACGGTACTATTCTATTTGAAAGACAAACAGCAGTAAAAAAATATCTCAATATAGAAAAAAAAATCCTAAAAGGGTTAAGTGGTGAGAGAAAAAAATAACAGTACGTGCTAATGATTAGATTTTGAGAATAGCAACCCAGAAATAGTTGTCTGAAACGGTTTTGGAGAGATCGTTTCATAGAACTCGAATGTTTCCGCATTAATGGAAAGCAGACTTTTGTTCGGTAAAAATTGTAACGACTCCATTTAATTATACGGTTCGAATGGAAGAGCTTTTCGAGGAAGATCGTTAGAGGCAGTTCGGGATGAAAGAGATGGATATAATAGAAACCGTGCGCTTCCATAAGATGCCAGACGGTATTATGCATCCGTCGGTAAAATGCCGGTGGTAAAGGTTTCGATAGTTCGATTTTAATGAAATTTGTAAATAGGGTAATGGGAACTATTCAAATATATGAGTATGATTAAATAATTTTAAAATATATAGTTTCTATCTTAGATATATTATTGAAATTGTCTCGTTATGAATTATTTATTCTTAAAAATAAAATGTAAATCGATCTAGAAACATCAGTAGGTCCAACCTCACAAACGACTCTTTTGGTACAATATCTAAATTTTACTTCTTTGGACAGTGGCGACTTTATACAGTGGCGATGCGTGGTCTAATATTTTGGAGGTGCATAACACTAGAAAAAAAAATGTTACGCCACTACATAAGATCGTCGCTGGGTGCATACTAAAGGATCTTATTTTATTAAAAAATTAACTTATAAAGAACTATAACACTCTATAATGTCATTTTAGTAGTTCGTGAAATCACAAGTCCCAACTCGACGCTGTTAACTCCAATCGCGAGCTGCAAGTGCCAGTATTACATGTGCACAAGGGCCAGCTTATTACATCACATGTGGCTAGAGTGTCGCATGCAGAGAACAAAAAGTACGAGCGGTTAATATTTCTCCAGTTAGATAGATATTATTATAAACAGAAGGAAAAAATTAGTCGGCAAGCCATCAGCAAACTCGTAACCGTATACACCAGTGTACACTATTGTAGACATTCACACTCACAAACAACAACCACACCTACATCAGTGTACACTAGTGTAACTGCCTTCCAGCATCATCAGTACGGTAAGGAATCAGCAAGCGATGACAACGATCCCAAAAATTATAAACCAGGAAGCAAACGATGCACGAGGCACCATCTGCAACCTAGTAGTTGAAAAAAAAAGATGATGAAAAACAAAAGGAGCAAACAGGAGCCTAAGGCCCCAATTTGCGACCCTGGTCCCTAAGTCCGACCCTGGGTTTCTATTTAATCTGATTATATTCATCGCAACAATATTGATCAGATAATTAACATTGATTAAGGAAAATTGAGCCAATTGGAAGATTTAAATAAATTATATCCAGGTCAGCAATTTAAAGATATTATTTTTTAACTTTTTTTTTATTGTGAATTTGAAATCTGTGTGTGATCTAATAATATGCGTAATATTAATCGTTAGTTATTATAAATAAATCTTCTAGAAACCAGTTTCTAATGCTCTACAAATAGTCTAAATATTCTAAAGGGTTACCACCATAGACTTAAAAAAAATATATTTTTTCGTTCAGTTTATCCATAGCTCTTTGAACTTTCTTCTCTTTTTTCTAAATTTGTGCCAAATGCGTTTTGTAATCTTTATTGTAAATGTTGAGATGTATTGATTTCACTTTTACAAATAATGACGTGAAGTAATGTGAATTCATTTGTATATTATTTTTTATTATTTTATTGTATTTGATTTTCCATATTCAATATTTTACCCCACGTCATTGTTAACTTTGAAAGCTTATCAATATTGTAACGATGAATAGATTAAATATTAAAAAAACAGAGCCGGACTTGAAATTAGTTTAAATAAATTGTGTTCAAGCTGTAAACAGCAACAAGTACAAGCTGTAAACAGCAACCGGGACAGAAAGGGGAAAGGGAGGAAGATCAAGGAAAGGAAATTAAGACTCGCCACATGGAATATCCAAGGATGGAGAACCAAGCGAGAAGAAGTGTTGGAGGAATTCAAGAACATGAACGTGGATATATTGGTTGTAACCGAGACAAAAAAAAAGGGAAACGGTACAGAAGAGATCGGAGGCGCACTGCATATATGGAGCGGAGTGAAAAAAGAACAAAGAGCTAAAGCGGGAGTCGGAATATTAGTGAAGAAAATTTAGAAAGAACAAGACGTGGGAACCAGTAAACGAAAGGGTGATAAGAGTGGAGATAGCGATATACGGTAGGGACGTAATTATAATAGGCGCATACGGACCAAACGATGACAGCCCGGTTACAGAGAAAGAAAAGTTTTTGGACACGATACAGAACGAAATTGCTAACATACGGAAAAAAGAACTCATTATAGCAGGCGACTTGAATGGGAGAGAAGGCAGAAAAGAAAATGATAGCGCAATAGGAAGATTTGGAGAAGAAATAACCAACGATAACGGTGAAAGAGTCATAGAAATATGCCAACTAAACGACCTCAAAGTAACAAATGGGTTCTTCAGACATAAGGATATCCACAGATACACCTGGACACAAGAAACGAGAGAACTCAAATCTATAATAGATTACATTATCATACGAAGAAGATCTACAATTAAAATAAGGGACGTCCGAGTACAGCGAGGGGCAGAATGCGGAAGCGACCACAGATTATTACTAGCTAAAATGGAATTCCCTTGGATGAATAGAAAAACGAACAACATTGAAGGAACACCGATAGAAATACAAAAAAGAAGTCCACTAAAATACAATTATTACAGGATGAATCCACACGACATCTATACCAAACAAGACTTGACCAGAGACTCATAGAATTTAGATACGATGATAACATGGAAGACACATACCAGCACATCAAAGAAAGTATGCTACAGGCAGGGATGGAAGCCCTCGGAGAAGTAGAAGGAAAACAACGACCTTTCGAATACAATCTTAGTGAAACGACGATTAACGAAATTAAATGTAAAAAACAACTGTACAATAAATGGCTGAGTACCAGGAATGAAGATGACTACAAAAAATATAGAGAAAATAATATTTATATATATAATAATAAAACAGAGAGAAAACGAAAAATTGGGAAAAACCTGCCAGAACTTGGACCAATATATCGGTGGAGCTAGAAGATCAGAAGCATGGAGAGACGATGTAATGAATTGAGATCCGATAGGAAAGAAAGATCATACATATCATACATTGAACCTGAGAAGTGGAAAGATCACTACAAAGATTTACTCACGGAAACAAGACAAAAGTTTATAGAGGAAAGACAAGAAGAAGAGGGACAACCTAGAGCACAACATATACCTATAACAATAGAAGATATACGAAAGGCAATTAAAACAATAAAAAACAAAACAGCAGGAGGACCAGGGGACATCGCACCAGAGCTCATAAAATGCGGCACAGAAAAATTATTCAGAATCATACATGGAATGTTTGGGAAAGCAATAAATGGACATAACATACCAGACGAATGGAAGGAAGCACAGCTAACATCGATTTTCAAAAAAGGAGATAGAAGACAGTGCGATAACTATCGAGGGATCAGTGTCATAGCAACCATGGGGAGGCTATATGGTAGAGTACTGAGAGACAAATTATAACAGAACATACAAGGAAAAATCGGAGAAGAACAAGCAGGTTTTACAGCAGGGAGATCATGCATAGATCATATTTACACGATCCAACAATTATTGGAGAAAAAAAAGCAAAGAACAAACCAGTACACTTAGCATTCATCGATTTAAAGAAGGCCTATGACACTGTACCCAGGAAAGAACTATGGAAAGCGATGGAAAGACTGGACATACAGATAACACTCACAAATGCAATGAAGACTTTATATAGGAACAACAAAATACACATAAAAGTAGGGAACAAGATAGTAAACAGCTTAACAACATCGAAGGGTCTGCTCCAGGGATGTCCAACATCGCCAACATTATTTAAAATATTTGGAACATGCACTGACAACCTGGAAACGCAAATGTGAAGGTATGGGAATCCCCCTAAGAAATGAACATCTTTACACGCTCTGATTTGCAGATGACCAGGTGGTGATGGCCCAGGATGAGGAAGATCTAAGTTATATGCTCAGGAAGCTAAATGAAGAGTATGAAAAAGTAGGACTAGAAATAAACCTGAATTATTAAAAAATACATCATAATGTAATATCATTTTAAAATTCTTGTATGTTATTTTAGATTCTGGAAGATAATTTTAGAATAAACCAGAATATATATTTAATAAAAACATTATTAATTATTAATAGGTTATAATTATGATTTTGTTACAATGTAAGTAAGTAAATAATGTAATGTAAAAGAAAATTCAGATTTTACATTTTACTAAAATATTATTATCTAAATAAGCGCCTTTCTACAACAACGCCACTGACTGCCAATGGGTAAATTGAGAGTTGCCTACCGGTCAAAGTCGTTTCAAGACTTAAATGGATTATTTAAGTCAAATTTCTTGCAAATTTGGCACTATCGAACGATGGTGAGTTTTTGAACAGAAAAGTCAATAAAATAACACTTAAGGACTACAAGCTGAGAAAATGCGTTAAAACAGCCGGGGAGATAGCGTCAACAAAGCTTTACCGCACACGTGCGACACGTACTACAAGGTATTAAATGAATGAATAGTCTCCCTCGCCTCTAATCGGTGTTGTCATATTGTAAAGAACTTATCCCTATTAAACAGTATCCGACTTATAATTTAGTAGTATAAGGACTATTTAATACATCCATGGAATATTAAAACCTATTTTATTAAACTGTAGTATTAATATCTCAATATATGTGTATAACAAGAAAAAAAAAATATTGATAATATTAAAGACGTGACAACATAGGCTGGATGAGGAAGGCTCGGTCGACTGTACCCAGAAGTAAACATGTGTACAAAAAAGGTTGTTTGTCCGCGTTGAGATGTAAATAGTGTAGTCTATATTTTATTTTAAGTCTATGATAAGGACACATTATTTTTTTATTGAGGTGCTAGTATTTACACAGAAAATACATTATTAAGGGCGCTGTTGCCATATATTGGTATTAGTTGATATTAGCAAAAAATGTTATTGTTTGGCTTTATTATAGTTAGTTAGGGATAGTATGTCTATATATTTTGCATTTTTTATTAATATTCTGTTGTTACATTCTGCAATAATACTTGTTATTTTTGGATGTAGGAAAATTTATTTTAATGTTTTTACAAAGACTACTAATAAAAATAATAATAATAGTAATAATTTGTTATACCTATTAACAACAAAAATTTAAAATAATTTAATATAAACATTTTTACGTAGTAGCAAAATATAAACAAATGTAAATTAGATGTCAAAATTATTTATATTAGGCTCTGTATTTATAAAATAAGAAGTCTTTAACTTTTTGGCAACGTTGATTTATTAAATAATAATAATTACAGAACTAATTTGTTATATTAACAAATAAACTTCTTTCAAATCATGAAATATAAACATTATTAATTTTCTAAGCAGCATGCAGTGTAATGGAACGAAAATATAAATAAAAATTAGAAATCAAAATTATTTATATTAGGTACTTTATATTACCATTTAAAAATAATATTTACTTTTACTGCATTTACTTTAAAAAATAAATGAAATATTTCTTCGCAAAAAACGACATGTAAGAGAATTAGCATAAACAAGATACAAACATCGTTAACATTTTTTTTTAAATTGGCACGTGTAAAACTTTCAATTTAATTTTTTCACCCCATAGTTTGAGTTCGATAACCATTTATTTAACCACATTACTTAAATATGATTATTAAGTTCAACTAATTCATATTATTAAAACATCTAAAATATGTATGTATTTTTAAAATTAATTCTAAGTTCATCTCATCTCTTAAAAATTGCTACTTCTCAAAATTTCCCATTAAAAATAGACCATATACCAAAAATAAAATAATTGAAAGATTTGGCTACGGAAAATCAGCACAATTTTCGGAAAATTTGACACCTGCACACGCACACAATCGTCAATTAAAAAAACTACTATTTTAGTATTTTAAATATTTTAATAAACGCAAAATAGCACAGTATTCATAAGGCGAAGTTATAAAATTTGGAAGAACTCTCAAGAACTAATAATGCACTGACGCACACAAAAAATCAAACGAATACTAAATTTCATTTATCAAAAGCATGATAGTCGTGGCTCAACGATACCCATTTAGTCGCACGGCGAGGTTCTCATGCTTTTAGTAGTATTGTTAAAATGAATGCAATGATTTTATTCGAATAAAACCATTCGATAGTTGAAATCATTCATTCAGTAACCATTCGATTGTTTAATTCATTTGATAGTTCCCATCGCTAATATTTACCATCCATTCTTTTTTTTACAACTTTACAACTCATTTGTAAAATATCTGTATGGCTAATTTATGTGGCATGTATATCAATATGTTATAATATATCTTTGTAGTCACCAATATTCTTTGTGAATTTATTTAAAAAATGAGTATCTCAGTAAATTTACTTATTCATTGTAAATTTATCATTTAAAATCGCCAACTTCTTATATTATTACTATATAGTAACAACAAATAAAAAATTTATTATACTAAATTTACAACTATTTGTAATAGTCTATTACTATTACTTTTGTAAATTCACAAATCGTTAGTAAATATTAATAAATTTATTAAAACACGTATTTATAATTATAATATTATCAAGTTATAAAAAGTCACAAAACAGAACTTATGTATGTAAGATATTCATTGCATCTCTTCTTGTCTAGAATAAACTTACTGGAATTCGGCACCTAACCGAAACGGGAAAAATGCCATTAGATACAAATTAAATAAAAAAGCATACAAGAAAAAAGTCTAATCTAATCAAAACAGTTAACTTACCAACTTAGAGACTATACCTAGATATTACCGGGTGCGTCTCAAAAGTGGCTCACTCCTATAACTTTTTTATTTTTTCAGTTAAAAAATCGAGATTTGGTATGTTAGTATATGACATAAATTGGGATAGATTGACGTATTCAGTTATTGTTTTCGGTCACTACCTGTTTCAAACGAGATTGGGTCTCTTATGTTTTGATATTTTATTTATAGTATATGACATAAATTAGGATTCATTATCGTATTCAGTTGTTTTCGGTCACTTCCTGTTTCACCGGAAATGACTACAACTTTTGATTTTTATATGACACCCTCGGTATTTTTTTTACTTTATTCGATAGAAAATAACACCCTGAATAGAATGACATATCATATGTCAACTTTTGATATTTTCGCATATTATTTATTTGAAATTATAACTTGCGGTTCGTAACGAAAATTTTTGACTCGAAATACCAACTGTGTGGTATCAAATTATTCGTGAAAAAATCTTTTTCCAATTATGCTAATGAGCCACCCTCGTTCCATTTGAAAAAGTTGAGATATGATTAAAAATACGATTTGAGAATTTTCTAACTGGCCAGTAAACCAACTAAAAACATTAGAAGATCAAATCTATTTTTCCAAGGCTCCTTGATTAAGAATTAGTGTTTTTAACATAGTCATGGCACGCTAGATTGAATTTTAAAATAAGATCTTTTATTAAGCGTGAATGTCAAAAGTTGACATTATGATATGTCATTTTATTCAGAATGTAATTTTCTATCGAACAAAGTAAAAAAATACCGAGGGTGCCGTTTAAAAATCAAAAGTTGTAGCAATTTTCTGTGAAACAGGAAATGACCAAAAACGATTGAATACGTCAATTAATCCTAATTTATGTAATATACTAACATACCAAATCGTTTTTTTAT